AGAGAGAGAGAGAGAGAGAGAGAGAGAGAGAGAGAGAGAGAGAGAGAGAGAGAATTACAAAGAGAGAGAGAGAGAAAGAGAGAGAGAGAGAGAGAGAGAGAGAGAGAGAGAGGGAGAGGGAGAGAGAGAGAGGTAGTGCAAAAAAAGAAAGAGGTAGAGAATCACAAAGAGAGAGAGAGAGAGAGAGAGAGAGAGAGAGAGAGAGAGAGAGAGAGAGAGAGAGAGAAAGAGAGAGAGAGAGAGAGAGAGAGAGAAAGGGGGGGGGAGTAGAAAATCACAAAGAGAGAGAGAGGCAGTGCCAAAGAGAGAGAGGGGGGTGGAGAATCACAAAAAGAGAGAGAGAGAGAGAGAGAGAGAGAGAGAGAGAGAGAGAGAGAGAGAAACAGACAGACAGACAGACAGACAGACAGACAGACAGACAGACAGACAGACAGACAGACAGACAGACAGACAGACAGACAGACAGACAGACAGACAGACAGACAGACAGACAGACAGACGGATTACTTACGAATCATTGCCGCAATTTGTTCGAACTCAATGGGACAGTCCAGTTGAAGCGGGCCTAGTGCAGCTTCTATGGAGGTCTATACGATGCAAACAAAGTTTCGTTTTGGTAAGTACTTTACGGCGCTCGCAATTGCATATTGTCACACGAGCGCTCGGGACATATTGTCCTATAAGAGCCAAATCCGTGTGTATCATTATTTCGGTGCGAAAAATTTCCAATTAGTCACAATGATTTTCACTACCTTTAAATTAATCAAATTATTTTCAAATGTTATCATCATCATCCAGTGTCAGATCTGCGACAGACATCGGCGATCATGATTTTCCATTCATTCCTTTGTTCGGATGCTCTCAGAAAAGCTACATTTCCCTGATTTTTCCCTGTTACCCATTTGTTTAGGTTCCCTAAGTATGTTGTTCTGGGCCTACCCCTGCCTCGCTTGCCCTCAATTTTGCCAGTGAGAGCTAGATGTTCAAGACCCTTATGTCTATTCAAGTGTCCCAAAAACTGCATTTGTCGTTTCCTGATTGTTTTTAACATTGAGCGTCCCACGTGGGCTTCATCAAGCACTACCTCATTTGATTTCTTTTCCTTCCACGATACTCTTAGCAGTCTCCTAAGAAATCACATTTCTGTTGCCGTCAAATTTTATATACCTTCAAATTAGTCGAAACTTATTTTCCATACCATACAATTAGTCACAAGTTTTGTTCCTTCTAATGAAAATAGTCAAAATTTGTTTTCATTACCTTCAAATCAGCCACAGTTTCTTTTCTATGCCTTCAAATAAGTCAAAGTTTGTTTTCTATGCCTTCAAATAAGTCAAAGTTTGTTTTCAATACCTTAAAATCAGTCAAAGTTTGTTTTCATTATCTTTCAAATTAGTCACAAATTATTTTCAATACCTTCAAATTAATCACAAACTGTTTTCAAAGTTTAAATACCTTCAAATTTGTCAAAATATATTTCCAATATCCTTCAAATTAGTCACAATTTATTTTCAATACCTTGAAATCAGTCACAAATTATTACAATCCCTTCAATTTAGTCAAAAATTACTTTCAATTCTTTTAAATTAGTTGCAATTTATTTTGAATACCTTTATATCAGTTACCGTTCATTTTCAAAACCTTCAAATTAGTTACAAATTATTTTCAGTACCTTAAAACCGGTCTCAAATTATTTTCAATACCTCGAATTTAGTCACAAATTACTTTCGATTCTTTCAAATTAGTTACAATTTATTTTCACTACCTTGATGAAAAAGTAAAAGTTTTAAAAAGTTCAATACCTTTAAATCAGTCACCGTTCATTTTCCAAACCTTGAAATTAGTTTACAAGTTATTTTCAATACCTCGAAATTAGTCACAAATGCATCTGTGAGAAGGGTCTGCGCGTGCATGGCCCTCAGGATGCACTCCACATATTCCTCCGTGATGTCACAAAACTGATCCAAGTTGGTGAGGGCCGCCGAGGCGTTTTGGTACCGTTCAGTACATTCCTCAGTCGTCTGCCCACTCGAAAGTCCTGGAAAACAACGGGATAAAAGTATAATGCTTTAGGTATTGATTCACCTAAGAAGAATATAAGAAAGCGACAGGCAAATTTTAATTTCTTTGGACACAAAATGCGGAAAGAAGCATTGGAGAATATTGTAACAACAGGCACGTTTGAAGGAAAGGGAGGCAGAGGCAGACAGAGGGAAAAGATACTGGACAAGATGACAACATGGCTAGGAGCTGCAAGAACAACAGACGCCATCACTGCAATGCAAGACAGAGTGAAGCGGAGGTCCGTGATCACCCACGCCAGTCGGTAAGGCACCGGATGATAATGACACCTAAGAAGACAATCAGTGGAAAGACCTTCGCGACCTTTACTTGGAGAGAGCGACGAAGCATCAATGGACATGTCCGGAATGCAGGGATGTTGCTTCCTGAAACAATAACGATAACAATAAAACCCAAGTAGACAGGTAGCAACTTTACAGACGAAAGCCATAATCTGATATTGATATCATATGAAAAAAGAGAAAACGTAGGGTAGAGTGAAGATGTTGTTACTGGATCAGTTGTTGTGATTGATGTTGTTATTGTTGTTGTTGTTGTTGTTGTTGTTGTTGTTGTTGTTGTTGTTGTTGTTGTTGTTGTTCTAGCCGGTGTTGTTGTTGCCTGTTTCGTTGTTGTTGTTGTTGTTGTTGTTATTGCTGTTGTTGTTGTTGTTGTTGCCTGTTTTGTTGTTGTTGTTGTTGTTGTTGTTGTTGTTCACATTGTAGTGTTTGCTGTTGCAGCTCTTGCTGTTGATATTCATGTCATTAGTGTTGTTGTTGTATTTGTTTTTGTTGCTGTTGTTGTTGTTGTTGTTGTTTGTCATATTCTTGTTGTAGTAGCTGTTGCTGTTGCTCTTGTTGTTTTTGCTGTTATTGTTGTTGTTATTGCTGCTGTTGTTGTTGTTGTTGTTGTATTTTAGCACTCTTTTTCTGTAGTTTTTCTTAGGACATGTGAAACAAGAGCCCCTGTACATTACTCTAGAAATAATAACAACAACAACAATAACAACTGCGAGAGGTGGCCCATTAATTATTTCGAAACAAGGCCGTGGGAACGGGGAATCAACCCCAACATCGTTTTATCACACCTGTACGGCATAAGCGGAAGGAATGACTCCGGCTCAGAGATCCGAAGCGCTGTTCTTCGTCGGGCACGAGAGCTTGGCGTACAGTACAACATTTACACTGACGGCTCGGCGAGTGCAGGAACAACGGACGGCGGCACACAGTACAACATCTTCTCTGACGGCTCGGCGAGTGCAGGAACAACGGACGGCGGCACACAGTACAACATCTTCTCTGACGGCTCGGCGAGTGCAGGAACAACGGACGGCGGCACACAGTACAACATCTTCTCTGA